GCTCTCGTGTTCCACCTCCTCCAGTCTTTTTACAGCCTCCTGAGTCGTCCTTCACTGTGCTTCAGGACCCGTAGTCCGACTACCTCTGTGCCTCCCGTCCTGTCGTCTCCCGTATTTTGTCCCCGTTGGTCACTCACCAAACTGCACCCCTGTTGTCTGTCTCAGCACTTGTTACCACTTTCGCTGACTTTGCCTCTTCCCACCACCTTGACTACGCCGCTCACTTGGTGAGTGGCCCTGCTCTTTCTCCGTCCTCTGGGGGTGCTCCTGTCTTTCCCCTGGAGGTCCTAGAGGACAAGCAGTTTGAGCTTGGTTTCCTTGTGGCCGCTGTTCCTCATGTCTGCGCCATGCTACTTGCCCCTGAGGGGGATCCAGACGCTCTTGACATCCCGATCCCTCGCACTCACGTTGAGGCGGTCTTGGGACCTTGGACCTCGTACTCGATAGCAGCTGAGGTTGCAGAGATGGCATCTTATAGGTCCACCACCACCTGGGACGAACGTCGTCAGTGGCTAATGGCTCTACAAGGTGAAGCGACCGCCTGGATCACCACCAGTATTCAAGGCGCGCTATGTGGCAAGAGGCTTTAGTCAGCGAGAGGGGGTGGACTTCTTCCGGACCTTTGCTCCCACCCCGGAGATGAGTACTCTTCGGGTGTTGCTGCATATTGCAGCCCAGCGCGACTACGAGTTGCACTCCTTGGACTTTTCCACTACGTTCTTTCAGGGGAGCCTGCACGAGCAGATATGGCTGTGTCGCCCTCCTGGCTTCACTAGCTCTTTCCCACCTGGGACCCAGTGGCAGCTGCGTCGACCAGACTACGGCCTGTACGTGAGTGACACGACACACTTCGCTCGAACCTTGCAGCGCTTGATTTCTTTCCGTCGTCTGCCGACCCGTCACTGTTCGTCCGTCGTGGCTCGACCCCGTTCTTTGTTCTTCTTTACGTTGATGACCTGGTCTTCGCCACTCCCGACCGACACGCACTGGCCCCGTGAAGGAGGAACTGCAGAGGAGACACACTTGCACTGACCTTGGTGAGCTGCAGCACTACCGTGGCCTGCAGATCACTAGGGACAGGACAGCTCGTACCATTACGCTGATGCAGTCGCATATGGTTGAGCAGATCCTCACGCAGTTCCGCTTCCCGTTCTCCAAAGTACAGCTCACTCCTCTTGCTATGGATCATGAGCTCACGGCTCCACCTTTGGACGAGTCACTTGAGTCCAATGGTCCATATCCTGAGCTGGTGGGTTGTCTCATGTACCTGATCACCTGTACTCGCCCAGACCTAGCTTACCCTCTTAGCGGGATGGTCACCATCTCCGGCGAGGCGCCAAGCGTATGGGACGCGGGAAGAAGGAGGGGAAAGGGATCGACGCTCGCCGGCAAGGCGTTGGGAGCAGACAGAGAGGGACGGCGGGCTTGGGAGGCAGCAAGACAAGGAGCGCGGGAGTTACCAAGAGAGCAGGACCAGGAGCGGGGGCCTAGCGTCCGGGGTGGAGAGGGCCCGCGAAGCAAGGGAGGGCTTAAACAGGGCTAACCGGGGAGGGCCATACGGGAGATTGGTAGGAAGGGCGAGTGACGCGTGGGGAGAAGGACGGGGAGGCCTAGCCGCGGCACCAAGGGTAGAGGTACTGGCCAGGATCTCAGGCGATCAGAGGTCAGGGCCTTCACTCAAGAACTACCTGATGCAGATCGGTAACGTGGGGTATTGTGTGACAGGAGCGGCACAGATCTGCGACAGCACGCCAATTATCTACATGCACCTGCGAAGCGGGTGCCTTCTGTCTTGCGGGTGCCTTCTGTCTTGCGGGTGCAACACTGTACAGCCGCCTTGCTGCAGCGTTGGCACGCCTTCGACTTGCAGTGTTTGTAGGCCGCGTCCTTGCACCGCTGGAGCGCGGTCGACCAAGTCGTGCTGGAACGCGGTCGACCATGCTGCGCTGGCAGTCGACCGACTTTCATGTTAGCTCTGCTGTGGTCAATCTTGCCAACTTTGTTGCGATCATTTTCAACTTTTGTTGTGAGAACTCTTGCTAGTGAAACTCTTGCCGGATTTCCCTACGAATGCGCAAGTAGTGTGAGCACGAGTTAAGGAATGAACGAATGCAGAGATCACTCCCACCCCGTGCTTAGCCCGTAGTCTAGCTCCCGTTGCTTGAGTTTTCTCCGCAAACAGCCCCACTGACATATTTACTTCCGAAGGGGGTGGCTTTTACGTGCGGGGAGAAAGAGCATGCTGCCTTCTCTACCCTAAAAAGGTTTTTTATTCACCACCCTTGTTACGCGTCGCCGACCTACACCGCTCATTTGAAGGGGTTACCGACACCAACGACATCGCCGTTGGACCCGTACTGCTACAGGATTTCGGCAACGGCCTACAGCCCATCGCATATGAGTCACAGAAGCAGCACCCGCCCGAGATGAACTACAAGAAACACGACAGCAAAATGCTCGCGATCTTGCAAGCGTTCAAAGTGTGGCGCTGTTACTTGTCCGGCGCATGCGTGACTGTACGGACAGATCGTCGCTTACTACAGTACCTTCGCACGCAACCCCACCTCAACTCACAACAAATCTGTTGGTTCAATACCCTCGAGTGAAACGTTCACTATACAGTCACCTACAAGAAGGGTCCCTCCAATATCGCCGAAGCACTGACCCGCTCGACTGCCCGAATCCACGCGATACCAGTCGCCCAAACCTGCCCACTGTTCACATGACTATTTACCCACGGGTACTAGACTATTCTTCACTGGAGGCAAATCGTAACAGTTTGTAGCAGCACGAGGGGTGTCTTGCGTAGAAGCCGGCACCGACCGCATTTGGGTACCAGGCTACACCCTACTGCGGGAAGCACTACTACAAGAGGCATTGAGGAATCACCAAAGGACATTTCGGGGTTGAGAAATTATGACAGCAGCTGCATCGGTACTATTACTGGCCCGAAATGCTAACCAACGTACAGCGACACGTGTCATCGTTTCCCACATGCCAGCTCATGAAGTCGTCACGACAACGATTGGTAAGACAGTTGCAGCTGATACCACCCCCAAAGCGTGAATGTTTTACGGGAGTTGGCCCCGTCCTCACTTGGGCGAAGCCGACTTCGTGGTCTGGTACGCGGGAGATGCAGCCGATCGTCTACAGTGGGCGACATGGGCGAGCAGGTCGACGAAGTTGGTCGACCTGCATGGGACCACTGCGAAGCCGCCGACGGCGGGAAGTCCACGAAGGGTTTGTCTTCTTATAAGGATGCCGAATTGGCAATGTCAGTAGGAGACATCGACCTGCGTGGTTGATGAGCAGGTACAGCAGTTCGCGGGCTCCGGCCGCCCAAGTCGACGCCTACTTGGTGGTTTCCCCGTCGACCAAGTTACCTGTCTCGACGAGGTTCTGCAGTGGTGCGCGAACGTTGTCGAGGCTGCTGTAGCGAAGTCGACCGACGTGGTAGCATGTGGTCGACGTGGTCCTTCAGGCGCTTCTGTCGGCACAAGGCCGACTTGGCACCTGCGCGACGGTACACAACGTGCTCGACCGTCCCAACGTGCCTGCGAAGTGGGAGTGCACCTGCGCTGCTGTCACCTACGGTTGCAACATTGGCAGATCGCTCTGCTGCAACGTTAGCAAGCCACCTTGGTGCAATGCTGGCAAGCCGCCGACTTGCTGTGTTGGTAGGCCGCCTTTCTGCGACGCTGGCGCGGTGCCTCTTCTACACTGCTGGCAGGTCGCTGACTTTGTTGTGCTGAAGGTCGACCTGCCTGTGTGCTTTGTTTATGTTGTGTATCATTGTTCTCAACTTTTCGCTGGTGAAACTCTTGCTAGTTTGCCCTGTGAACAAGCACGTAGAGAGAAGACGAGCAAACGCTGAGACCATTCGTACCATTCGTGCTTCCCCCCCATAGTCCAGCTCTCGGTGTAGAGTGACCGCATGCGTGGCAGCTGGTGACGATGGACTTCATCACGAAGTAACTGCCTGGGGCGAGTGGGAATCATGCGATCCTGGTCGACGTCAATCGGATAACAAAAATGGCCCATTGTGCAGCCTGCAAGAAGTTGATCTCGATCTAAGAAATAGCCCGACTCGTTTTTGCCACCGTCGTTCGACTGCACATGATACCCGCAGCGATTAAAAGCGATCGCGACACGAAATTCACCAGCAACTTCTTGCAGAACCTGTGGCAGCAGTTTGGCACACGACTTTAGTTTAGTTCATCGTACCACCCAGAAAACGACAGCCAAACGGAGCAGACCAATCAGACCATGGAGCAATTAGTTCGAGCCAAGTGCGACGATCCGACAACTTGGGAGCAGCAGTTGCCGCTCATCGAATTCGCATACAACCACGCAGCAGCCACCGATCTACCTCAACTACGGACAAAACCCCACTGTACCCACTCTTCGCTTGCTCACTCAATTGCACTCGTACCGTATGGCCCCGGATATAGGCGCCGGCCTATTACAGGCGCCGGCGCTTCTATCTGGAGCATGGCGCTTATGGCCGATCCTCGATTATAAGCGCCCCCCGCTGGAAGAACATTACTTATTATAAGCGCCCCCCCCCCCCTTTTTTAATTTAAATATCAATTTAAAATCGGTAACGAATTTCAGTTTTTCAGCGAGTCAATTTTCATTTTCGCTTCGTTTGACTCGTGAAGACCTGACTGGCTGCGCGTCCAGTCAGGATGTGCTGGCATGCCTACAAAGTGACGCGAATTTGCCCGTGTACAGGAAGCAGAATCGCTTGCGCGCGATTCTGCTTTGTGACTCTATATGATTTCGACTCGTTTCAATTTTGTACCATTAACGTATAAATTTGTATGTGTCATTATATAAGCGCCGGCGCTTATGGCCGTTACTCAATTACAAGCGCCACCCCTAAAAATTTTGAACTTATTATAAGCGCATATGCGCTTATATCCTGGGCCATATGGTAACAAAGGGTAAGAAAAATGTATGTTTTGTCAGCGCAAAAGGGCTGGATCATAGGGTCTTGTTCATTTTAATCTGAGAAAGTAATCATGGCACACAAATATACTTCGACCCTACACTCCCAACACATTTTTTCTCATTGTATATGTAAAATTTTGAGATCGCTCCATTCGCAGCTCCACCATAGAAGCTGTAAGCACCCGAGCACGTCAATGATGGTGACACTGGCTTTTGCCTACCCTTCTTGCATATGCCAACAACGAATGGCCAGTACTCTGCTCTTAGGCAACTCTGCAATAGCAATATTTACAAACACAAGCGAGAGGAACGTGTATTTATGGGCAGAGATAGGCGCAATTGAAAACATTCTTAACGAACGGTATAGGGCAAACAGTTGTGAAAAACACTTGCTTTGGCATACAAGACATAGCCCCTTGTCCCCTCAATCATCAAATCTACATTGAGTCCACCACTTTTCCCCCCATCCCGGTTCCCCCCATCCCTCACCTGCACGCCAGTGTTGCTGCCAACAGCAGAGGCGGAGGCCGGGATGACATTGGAGCAGATGAGGCCGGGATTGTTGCGGTACAGCTCAGCCCAGCGCATGGCATTCACCTTCCCAGCCCCCGCTGGATCGCCCTCACTCCCCGGCACTCGCAGCAGCAGGCGCTCACATGTGTCCTGCGCTGTGAGCATGCCGTATTGCAAGCACCGCGGCACTGTGAAGGCAAAGGTGGCGTTGCGCTCGATGCAGAGAGAGCGGCCCGCCTTGATGGTCTCAGAGCAGTTGAGGCCGGAATTGAGAGCCGTGAGGTTGCTGCTGGTGAGACCCATCTGGGTGCTGATGGACCAGCATGTGTCGCCCTGGAGGGTTGAACAACAGGAGAGAAGGCAGCACGGCTGAGGTGAATGAGCATGGCTGGGCTATGAGCAGCTGAAAATGGGTTGGGGATATAAGACAGCATTGATGATCTGATGGAGAACAGAAGTGAGGGGATTCGGAAAGAGAGAAATGACGAAAGGGGCTAATGACCACAGGGAGGTAAAGGTAAAGTTTAAGCAGACGAAGAATCCCCGTTGGTGTTACCCACACATGGCTGTCAGCCGTAACCTGCCTCCCCAATAGTTTACACTCTTGAGACACATCAAGATTTAATTACCACAGGGAGGGTGCTGAAGAAAGCACTAGACGGTTGAACAACAGAAGAGAAGGTACAATCGATGAGGTGAAAGGAGTGGTTGTAGTATGTGCAATGCTGTTGGAGTTGCTAAGACATTCTTGCTGAGCTAAGCACTGTGGAGTGAAGATACAAAGAGATAGAGGAATGTGATTCGATGGGATTGCATAGAAACGAGAAAACCGAGAAAAGCTGAAGCTCACACTGACGGTGTAGAAGAATGCGGTGCAGGGAATGAGGAGAGAACTCCCCAGCTGAAGCACCACGTTACGAGGCAAAGGACGACTGCAGTCAATGGCCTGGAATGATGTGCACAGACAATTTTATGTTGAACATTGGGCATTTTGAAAATAGCCAAGCTAAGGATTCTGTGGGGATACTGTTTTCGTTCAATTTAGCCAAGAACTTTAATAACCTGCAACTTGCGATTCATGCTTCCCCTTCTCCAGCCTTGCCTGTTTCTCAACTCTTCCTGCCTCTCCATCTGTACTGCTTACCACATTCTGCTGCGTGAATTGGGAAAGTGAGAGGCCCACAATAGAGAGGACATCGGAGCACCAGCAGTTGCTCCCATGCACTGTCAGGATGCTGGCTGTGGCGTTGGCTGGAAAAGGGTGAAAGTGAAAGAGGAGGAACATACCCAACGGAACGGCTCGAACAAATGCAGATCTTTTATATATGCGTGGCCTTCACAGCAGCAGATAGTGGAAGCAGCTCGACATGATGACCCCAACATATGATACAACAACAACAAAAGCCAAAGCAGCAGCACCTGGGTCGCAGGTGGGGAAGCTGTCAATGGTTGTGCTTTCAACGTAGTTAGGAGGGCAGATGCAGGAGTAAGAGCCCTTGCCATCATTGACGCATGCGCCCACGTAGCACGGGTTTTTCAAGTCTGCCCCACACACGTCCACTGCCAAAAAAACAAACAAAAGCGAGGAGAAGAGCGAAACAGAAAAACAAAATGGTGAAACCAGAGCAAGATACATGCGTCTCAAGTTTAGAAAAGAGTGGAGGGAAGGAGGTTGAGGAAAGCCAATTGTTTTGACAACGGCGATTGTTTTCACAATGGCCATTCTCATGACAACGGCCATGGATGATAAACGCAACTTACAATAGGCACAAGTTTGAGAGCCGTATCCATTTGCAACTTCAACAAATGGCTGCTTGGCTTCATTCGGAATTGTGCAGTTGCACGAGTTGCTGTTGCTACGTAGGTTGGCCTGGCATGTGAACCGCCCACACGGGTTCATGCTGGGCTGCAGTGCGCCATCACCCTTGAAGCTCTTCTGGCCGCACGGGTCCTTGGGAACTGGATGGTGGTACGGACGAGAACAGGAGGAGTAGAAGCAAGTGCAGAAGGAATTTTACTGAATACGACAAGAAACAAGCAAGCATGAGTCGGTGATAGGCCAGCCTACGGACGTTGACATCACTGGCTCACATTCTCTCCTCTCTGTTAGCCTTCGCTTCACACGCTTTGAAGCACGCTTTGTGACTTTCCATCTGGCCCAAACATAATTTACTTGACTCTGTGAGTAACTCAAAGGCAGCACTATTTATATGGAGAGAGCAATGTCAAATGTTGTCGCACACAACACCTCGAGGTAGATGCCTCACTCTTGACAATGGGGTAGGTGCCTCACTCTTGACAATGGGGTAGGTGCCTCACTCTTGACAATGGGGTAGATGCCAGGCAGCACGTTGATTCCACACACACCATCCCGTCCCTGGATGTCCATGCGCATATGGCCCCTGTCGCCCCACTCCACTCCCCATGAGTTGCGGATGATCCAAAATGGAGGTGCAATGCGGTTTTGGCTGCCGTCGTTTGTCAAGACGAAGTAGCCAATAAGGAGTACAACGTGGTTCAGTCTGCCGGTGTAGCATTCGGGATTCTGGTACTTGAAGGTCTGAACAAAAAGCGGGAGAATGCGACAATTTTGGAGGGATGAAAGGGGGTTTTCATGAGGCATTCACCTCAATGCAGGGAACAACTTCAGTACATCTCGTATGCCAGTCAGTGCAAGGAACACCCACCCCGTCATATTGTGCAAAATCCGGAGGAGAAGCCTCGATGTGAACCACCACTGGCTGTCGTTGCACTGCCAGCATGAGCCCCACAAACCCCTTGAACTGCGTGCGCTCAAAGCCTTGCACAAGGTAGCCTTTTTCCGAAGATTAGTAAACAAAAATTGAAGGACAAGCAGAACGGAAGAGATATAAACACATGAATAGGCGACGATGAGAAACCAAAGCTTGCTTGCTGATAAATGCCTGGATTGGTTCGGACTGAACTAGTTCAGCTCTGTTTCAACTCGCAACCATAACCAACAACCGGCTCCTGAAGTCAGAGATGAGTACTCATACCACTAGGTCTTGAATTTCTCGGTTCTGTGATGTAGGGCTTTCCCGTACCCGACTTCCATTCCATTCCCGACTTCCAGAACAAAGGCGACAATGGGAAAGCAAAGCTTGCTTGCTAAAAATGAACAAACTTATTTAGACTGACCTGGTTCGACTCCGTTTCAACTTGCAACCATAACTCAAAGAACAGATTCTTGAACTCCGAGATGGGTACTCGTATCACCAGTTGTACACTTGCAATGCTCTCGACATCGGGCACACCCTACTTGGATTTCTCAGACTTCTGATGAAGCACCACCAGTTGTATCTGCCTTCCATTCCACCTCACTACTCACAGGAGCGCCAGCCTCTGTGACTCCGCCACGCGGCAGCGTGAGAAGCCTTTCGAATGCCTCGGTGGGGGAGCCCCCCATGCTGCACTTGTCAGCTTCGGAGGTGAGCCCCATGGCTGCAAAGAGTGACTCCACTGACAGCTGCGGCGCCTCTCCATTCATTGCAATGCCGTATGCCGCTTCCACGCTCGCCACCACCGCAAACGCCCAACAAGCACCTGGGTATGATGAGAAAGGGTCGTGAATGATTAAAGAAAATTCGACGAATGTTGGATGATGATGGAAACACACATTGAGTTGAGAAAGCATTGAGTCGAGCAAGCATGGTTGAAACGTGAACGTGATCAGCAGCAGAGCGGTAGGTGGAGAGTATTCAGATTGTAGCAGTAGGTTGACACCAGCAATGCTTTTGTCTCCAGCATACTTCTGTTCTCCGGGCTTCCCGTTTCAAGCTAACTCACTGCAGTCGCTCTGGTCCTTAACAGGCCAGCCGAGGAAGGGCACGGAGTCCCAGGAGTGGAATTCGCTGACAACCCACGAGTCCTGCTTGTCGGGCGCCACTCGGTAGTCCGCACTCACGTAGCGCGGGAAGGGGCTGGCCCACTCTGGCAGGTACGTGTCCGTTGATAGCCGAAGCCCATATGCTGGGAACGAAGAAATGTATGGGGCGTAAAAGAAATGAGCTGTATTTGAAAAGAACTGTAGAGGGATGGTCACAGCAGGGACCGACAAGGGAAACAATAATGTCTAAAGCTCCCTTACTTCTTTGGTGGACTGCATGTCTGAGATGACCGCATCTGTACCTCAATTGGCTGGTGATTGATTGTCATATCACATCTACTTAAGAGGCACAACGGACCTGCACTGAATGTTCATCCACGACTGATTTCTATTAACAATCCCTTCCCAAAATAGGTATACCGCTAACCTATTGCAAAAGGAGAACCTCCACGGGCCGGGGCCAAAAGGAGAACAAGAATAAAGCGACAGGAAGATGGAACATGAAGGATGCAGGAGTACAAAACAAGCACAAGAGAGGTGATGAAATAACTAGCCAGTCAATCCCAATGGTGGCATTCTCAGACCTCCTAACAGAGGTACCGTATACCCCTGGATAGAGCCCCCTCCCTCCATCCCTCCCTCCCCACGTTTTTCGCCCCAGGGGCCAGGGATTATCATAAGAAAAAGGGGCGATAACGTTTTTTCCGATTACAAGTCCCTATCCAACTCGTGGAGGTTGTCGCTATTGGAATACATGGCGGAAGTGTGAAAATTTTCCCATAAAGGAACATTTGTTTTGTTTTTTTTTTTTTAAAAAGCCGCGGAGCTATAACAAAACAATTTAAGTAATCCACCCACCCCCCTTCAAAAAAAGAAAAAAAGACTAGAAGTCCCTAGATGCGCTACGGCAGGTGTGTGAGAGAGTCGTAACACGAGCATACGAAACAAGTTTTTTAGGAAACTGGTTATTTAAACAGAACCCGGGATGTACCCTTACCCGGAATACGTGTGACTGGTCGAGGAGAAGCAGGAAGACCTGTGTCCACTGCAGATTCAAGAATGACGTGGCGCTGAAACGGCTTCACAGTGGTGGACGCCACGAAGCCAAAGAAGAAGGCGGGCTGCTCGGCTGCACCCTGCAGCACCTCACACAGCGCCAGCCTCCTCTCCAGCACCGCCTGCTGCGGCTTCTCCTGCGAGTCAGCCAGGAAGACCTGGATGGTGCCGGGGTCCCCCGGCTCATAGTCCACCCACGCTGTGTACGCCTTCCTGTTGCTCAGGGGGAAAGGCGACCTCACAGCGGCTAACGACCTGTCTTTGCCCCGAACGTTTAGCCCCACATGCTGGCTGCTCATGTCCCCGTGCTGCTTGTCCTGCCGAGTGTCAAACTCCACCGCTGCACTTCGCTTGTCCATTCCACCATACCCCACTCCGGCGCCGCTCCCCACCCGGTTCGTCGCCGAGACAACAAAGGCAAAGCCGTTGAAGCCAGCGCGGCCGGATTGAGGCGAGAGGGAGAAGGTGAAGTTGGCGTGGAAGGCCAGCTCCAGCCCACACCCCAACGCCGCCTGCCCTGCTTCGTACACAAACAGCGTCACTGGCGCTGCCGTGAAGCTCCCCCGAGTCTCTCGCTGCGTCCCCTTGGTGAGCACAGTTGCTGGCGGGAGAATCGACTGGCTGCGTGAGTAATTCATGTTCTGGCCTGCACGAATGCAATGGTCAAGGGTGGGTTATGGAGGTGTGAGTGGGATGAGATGAGGCAAAGCGTACGAAACAAACAAGGTCGATCACACAAGTTTCCAGCGAACCAGCTGCTCGAGTTCATGTGACATGGAAGTGCCTTATTGAAATGGTAAGTCCCCTACCTTGAGCAACACAGCTGATCTCTCCAAACCGCACAAATCCCGCGTCGCACAGACATGTGGGTGCCAAGCTCGCCCCCTCTGGATAGCACACCCCATGGCCTCCACACGCAGGAGCACCAGCAGCAGCAGAGGAGACGCCACAGAATGCATTGCATGCTGCCTCCTGCCTCTGCAGCACCAAGTCACAGCCAGGCGGCAGCTTGAAGCAGTTGGCATCGAAAAAGAAAGGCTCGCATGCCCCTTCAGGCAGAGGGCCAGAGAGGAAGTTGGTGGAGAGATCCAAGGTGCACTCAGCAAGAGGCTTCAGTGCGGGCCATGTGAGGTAGTTGTGAGAGAGGTCGCTGCAGAGGGTTGGGGAGGGATGTTTTGGGGGAAGAACAGAGAAGGAGCACCTTAGCGCAACCGCATTTGGATGTGGGGGTGCAGGGAGCGACTGTGTGATGGGAGTGGGTGTCCAGATGTGAGAGCACAAGCGGATGGATAGACACGGGCAGGCAAACAGGGAGAATGAGAAGTAGAAGAAGGAGAAGTAGAGGAAGCAAGGGAGATTACAAGACGAAGAGGAAGGTAAGGCACACAAGGGGACGGTGGAGTTAGATGACGGAACTAGGAGAAGTCGAGGAAAATGGAGGAAGGAGTTGAAGTTCGTGGAGTTGGAGAAGTTGTAACGGAGGCTGGAATTGTGCGTGCTTGGCGCGTCTCAGAAAACCAGACACCTTTATTCAAATTCACGCATATTCCAGGACATCTACAATTTGTTTTCTGTTTATATTTTTCTGGGTTTTTATTATTGATTAAAACACGTAATGAGTGATTATGCATGCTTTTGCAGCAAGGCAAGAATGTAAGGTGCTGCAAGAGCCTACTCAACAACAGACTTTTGACCGTGCATTGAGTTTGCAAGTCTGACTTGTAGAGTGCGTACGAGAGGAAGAACACAAAAACATGCGAAAAAGAGAGCGGTAGTGTGTGTAAGTCATACAGGTCTTGGAGGTCTGTGAGCTGGGTGAGAGTGCTCGGTATGCTTCCATACAGTAGGTTGAAGGAGAGTGACCTGATGGCCATGGTGGGGTAACCGAGGGGTGTTAGATGATCAAGAGGTAGAAGGAAAGCGAGTATGGATGGAGTTTGAGATTGGGTAGGTCGTGTTTTAGATTGCTTGACTGAACAGACATGAACCACAGCCACATGCTAAATTCTCTTTCGAGCGGGGTTTCATAAGTCGTTCAGCTGCTTGGAAAGCTGGGAGACGATTCTGCAAAGGTGCGCGCGGCTCCATAGTCATGAGCTGGCATATTGTGCAACTTCAACGTTACGGCCGGAGGATTGAAGACTTGGATTGGAATACGTGGAGCTTCCCTGGTCGCTAAAGATTGGCTGACCAGATTTTTAGACAGGTGGCAGGAAAAGAGGAGAGAAGAGAAGATCAGTTGAGAAGAGAGGAAACGCATGCTGGCATACAAATCCAACAAACTTGTGAGAGAACGAGTGCTGGCAGGGACAGATCCAGTGAGCTGATTGTTGGAAAGGTCCCTGGGAAGGGGCACGGACAAAATGAGGAAGGTAGAGACAGAGAGCAGCGTAGTGTTTGGAGGAAGTGTGGTGGAGTGTTTTGGGGCCAAAGTCACAAGTGAGAAAATAATGCACTCTAGCCATGAGCTCAGTTTTTGCGTGTATATCCCACTCATTGTGACTTGGCAGAAGGGATTTAAAATAGGCATGCGCATTATATTGAACCAACCTGGTCATTCCTTTTGCTTCTCAAAATCGAGCCTGGACCAGTGTGAACCCAACCACTTCCTATCTTCGGTTTGAACTGACAAGTTTGAACCCATAAGGGTCGAAATATCACCCGCACAGTCTGAACGGGCATGGTTAGCCTGCATCTCCTTTCAGCAGCCTGATTATTTTTTTGAACCTATCCAAGAAAACCCCCTGAGATTTACGAGAATCAAAACTTCAAAGAAGCATTTCAGTTTGGCATATACATGAGAAACGGGTCGACCTAACCAAATCAATTGAGTCGAACCTCTTCGGGTTTAAAGCTCGATGTATGGTATCACTTTTTGAAAAGAAACAGAGATGAGTGGAGTGGATGAACAGAAGAAGAGAGAAGAAACAAGAGGAGAGAGTGAAGGATAGGACTCACAAAAAAGAAAGTTCCGCCATGGATCCAATTTCAGCGGGAATCGATCCAGTGAGCTGATTGCTATGGAGATACCTGAATAGAGAAACAGGGAGGCAAAAAAGGCAGAGGAAGACGACAGCAGGGGGAGGGGAAGAGCATGGCGGACAAGGACCCATAATGGTCGAAATATCACCCGCACAGTCTGAACGGGCGTGGTTAGCCTGCACCTCCTTTCACCGGTTCAGTTCAGCCTGAATTGTTTTTTTTGAACCTATCCAATAAAACCCCCTGAGGTTCTGTGAGAATCGAAAAAGCACAGAAGCATTTTACTTTGGCATATACATGAGAAACGGGTCAACCTGTCCGGAACCCAACCCGACATGACCAAATCAATCGAATCGAACCTGTCCGGGTCAAAAGCTCAATATATGGTATCACCTTTCGAAAAGAAACAGAGATGAGTGGAGTGGATGAACAGAAGGGGAGAGAAAAACGAGAGGAGAAAGAGAAGGATATGGCTCACAAATATGAAAGACTCGCCATGGATCCAATTTCAGCAGGAATCGATCCAGTGAGCTGATTGCCATGGAAATACCTGAATAGAGCAATAGGGAGGCAAGAAAGGCAGAGGAAAAAGACAGCAGGGGGAGGGGAAGACCATGGCGGTCACACTAACCGGACTTGCCAGATACTAAAATCCCAATAAGATAAGACTTCGGTACACGTATGTAGGTAATCGTGCCAAATTTAACTGGTTGTACTCGAACCATGGTCTTCCTTTTTCAAAGAGTGGATACACGGAAGGGGAGAGAAGAAATGAGATCGTCCTGTTCTCACATCTTCCGTACAACGCATATGCTAGAATAGGTGTAGGGTTGTTGCTGGGTGTAGCTCCAACCACAATTTGTGGTTGAAGCTTGGTTGGGTTCCCAACAATTAATGGACGTCAAGAAATGCTGGTTTAAACCGACCCAGCCATTACCGAAGCTCCAAAAATGTTGTTCCACCCAAACCAACAATAATTGGAGCCTTCAGTAATTGTTGGCGAAGCTCATCCTAAACCTTTTTCTCCACATATGTATACCTAGGCTCATTGAGCCCACAATAAAAATATAATTGTTTCCAACAGGCCTTGACATACACATGCTGTACCAATTATTATTTTTGTATGAGAAGGAGCGTTAGAAATGAGAGGAGGCGAGGCGAGAAAAGGGCTCACAAAAGGATAAGATTTGTCATGGCTATAATCTCAGCAGGGATTGAACCAGTGAGATGATTGTCATTGAGATACCTGAATGGAGCAACGGGAAGATGGGCAGAAAAAGAAGACAGTAGGGGGAGGGGAAAGGGCATGACCATCCCGCAGATGGGCTTGCGAGATGGGCGGAAGTGTGGAAAACCTCACCCGATGTATGGCTGGTGTGGTTGGACATGGTGGGCAGACAATCCCCATGCTCGTGGTGAGGGGTGATGCTGCTGTGTTGCGGCATACGTCAGGCAGGCCTGCCATATACCGCATATACGTCAACGTAAAAACGGTATACGTAATACGGTCGTATAATATGGTCGACAAAAAGCACCCAGCGTTATTGCTTGCATATCTGTGCAAATCGGCGATTTTCCCCGCGATCAGCACCGGTCAGCGATTCCGCTTGCCGATTTGCGCAGATCGGCGATTTCGCTGTTTGATCTAACATCGTCAAAACTGAGTAAGGAAGGCCATGCATCCCCTACTTCCCATTAGATTTGTCGGAAGTAAGGATGTCAACCAATTCGCCGCCACTAACCACTCGTCACCGCACTGGATCTACAAAACCCAGCCCTCCCATACAATTAGTAAAATCTTGAACTTGAGGTCAGCCCAGCCCTAGCACAATCGTTCAGCCCATAACTACTACCCTCCCTGCCCAAATGTCCAGTTTGACGGCTCGTTTAGCTCTCACCCGATTTCTAGATACATGGGGAGGTGCGAACAGGCTGTATTGCCTTGCCCGGAAAAGATTTTGACCTGGCTGGCAGGAGTACTTTCAACGTATTCTCAAACCTCTCTGCCAACGGACGCCAGTCGCGACTTTTGCAACACAGCGGTGATGCCTCTTCCAGTTGTTGTTTTTAACAAAGTACGCCCTTGTGTTTTTCAAGAATGTGCAGTCATCCGCTTTTGTGGTCTGTAGTGCCTACTTGGAATAATCCGTGTTCCATGTTCAGCGCGCATCTTCGAGAGCTGATGACGTGGTGCAACCCACATTGCAGCCAAGAACCGTTGAGGGGAACGACATGAGATTGTACAGGTATTTCGGGCAGTGGTGGTATTTCAGTTTGTTGTATCGCTTTTCTCTAGTCACATTGTTGCAGGAAGGGAGGAAGGATAAACATAACATTCTACTGAAGAACTCAATGAAACTAATAAATCATGCTCCATAGGCAAAGTGCTCACAGTGTGAATTAAGAAAACAGGAATGAGAATGACTAAGGGAAAGTTGGGTACAAATACAAACCCTAGAAAACTGTACCCCATATGTGCTACCCCACTATAGCCTACAGTAGCTCTGTCATATAAATCTGACACACCCCCATAGGCAAAGTGGGGGAGAACAAGGGGTCACAAGACCAGTCAAGCAAAGCAAAACAAGCTCACGGTGGATCACAAAGTCACCACACATTCCGAGCACAAGTTCAAGGCCACAAGGCCAGTTCACATGCAGGATTACATATATATATAAGGCTAGACAAGCAAGAGCACGTGTATATATATATGCAACAGTACAAACAAGGTCAAGGGGTGAGCAAGTGAGGCAAGGTAGGCACAAGGCCCAGCTGAGTACAGAAACGCTGATGATCACAAGGCGCAAGTGCCTTGGTGAAGATATCAGCAGTGTTGGCCTGAGAGGCCACGTACGCAAGTCGCAGCTGACCACGCTGCTGTAGCTCACGAGCAAGGAAGTAGCGGAGAGCAATGTGCTTCGTTCTGTGCTCCAGTCTCTGCTCTCGACACAAGGCCAGCATGGCCTTGTTGTCTACGTACAGCACTGGAGGAGAACGAGGCGGCTCTCCGAGGTCAGTCAGCAGGTAGGTGAGCCAGCGAAGCTCCTGTGCAGCCATGGCCCCAGCGTAGATCTCAGCCTCACAACTGGAGCCGAGAACAGAAGACGAGCGGGTAGCCCGCCACGAAACAGAACCGGAACCAAGGCTGAAGGTGTAACCCTGTGACGACCGCTGCGTAGCCTGGTCGTCAGCCCAAGAAGCGTCTGCGTGCCCAGTGAGGACCACTGGACTCTGCCCTCCAAGCACAAGCCCCATGCCCGACGTACTGCACAAGTAGCGCAACACCCTCTTCGCTGCAGCCATGTGCTCCGGTCTGTGTCTCCCAGGAGCAACATAGCGTGCGAGAATGCTAAGAGGGTATGCAAGGTCAGGTCGTGTGCAGGTCATCAGGTACATGAGGCAGCCAACAAGCTCTGGGTACGGGCCACTCGACTCTACGGACTCATCCGAAGGCAGAGCTGAGAGCGAGTGGCGAGTAGGCAGAGGAGTGGCCTGAGGCGAGGAGTACGTGAAGCCGAAGCGCTGAAGGACCTGCTGCACCATGTGTGACTGAGTCAGGGTAATGGTGCGGCGTGCTCTGTCCCGGGTGATCTGCAAGCCAAGGTAGCTGCGCAGTTCACCCAGGTCTGTGCACGTGTGTCTCTTCTGCAGCTCGGACTTCACGTGGGCGAGTCCAGCAGTGTCAGCTGTGGCAAAGACCAAGTCGTCGACGTACACGAGGATGTAGAACGGCGGCAAAGAAGTGTCGGTGCGCAGAAACAGCGACGGGTCGACAGTAGAGGGAGCAAACCCAAGAGCCGCAAGTGTAGTCCTCAGTGTGTCGTGCCACTCACGCGGTGCCTGGCGGAGACCGTAGACTGGCCGCCGGAGGCTCCACTGGGTGCCAGGAGGAAAAGACCCAGTGAAGCCAGGTGGGCGACGCAGCCAGATCTCCTCGTGCAGGCTGCCCTGCAAGAAAGCAGTGCTGAAGTCAAGAGAGTGCAGCTCGTAGTCGCGGTGAGCAGCTATGTGCAGCAGTACCCGAAGAGTGGTCATCTTCGGGGTGGGAGAGAAGGTCTGAAAGTAGTCAACTCCCTGCCGCTGACTGAAGCCACGAGCCACGTAACGCGCCTTGAAGACAGG